GGGGGCCGTACACACTAAAGCGGGTGCCACATTAATAGCATCAGCAGGTAAAAGCGGTAGAGTATCCCCTACATATCCCGTTAATTACTCCCCCACCAAACCCTATCATCCGTGAGTTTCGAGAAATGTGCCATCTCAGGTGCGAGTGTTCGCCCGTGCAAAGCCTGAAGATAAGTTGGACGCCTGGCGAAAGGAGGATCTATGTGTGTATATATATATATATCCCATTATAATATACTAGTTTCCATATTCTCTTCCAATACTCCCAGATAACGTCAGTATCACCCCAATGGGGAAAGGGGGATACAGGAATCAAACTGGTTTGAGATTTACAAGGTTTAGGTTATAAACGGATTAAATAGAGGTACCTAGGGATTGGATGGGCTCATATGAGGAAGATACCACAGCCAGCTCGTTTGCCGATGCCAGGGAAGCTGCGCGAGTTTATAGTGTCTAGAGTTCAGAGGTTAGCTTGCTGGCTGTTTTCTGGAAGTGGGTACTTGGAGGCCCATGGGACTTGGTAACCGTTTATAACTGGGCTTATAACCCTACTTACAATCCCTTTAAATGGGCATATAGGGGTTCCCCCAATGATAAGTAGGGTTATAATCCCTATTATAAGTAGTTACTATCCCATGGGCCTCCAAGTAGGTTTGGTTGGCACGGCAGATTTAGGGAGCGAGTGGGTCTGCCTGTGAGTTAAGCTTCTCGCCGCGCAGGGCTCTCAGCTCCCAAATCCTTTGTTGGAGCAGCAAAATGTGAAAATGTGATCCACTGCATGCCGCAGCTTTTAACTGCTTGGGCCTCAGTTGTCTACCTAAAGTCTTACTCAGTGCTAAAGAACCTAGATACAACATGGCATGGTTGTTTCTCAAGACCGGGCATTTTTGGGATGCAGAGTGGGACCCTCGCCTACATGCGTACGTCATGCGTGCGTACGTACCTAAATAGACATGCGAGCCATATTCCATATCTTTGTAGACATGCCAAAAGGCATTGGGACCGTTAACAAGAAAACGTCCTACAACAAGTCACGCCGGGGCACTTATGGGCAGCTACTACCTGTAGCATACAAGCTTACGGGTAAGTGTGGGTTGCTAAATACCAGTGTTGTGGTGCAGGAGATTCAGGGGTGTCCATGCATGTTCTGCTAAAAGCTTTGCATAGCCAGTGCTTAACCAAAAAACATATACGGTCCCAATATAGAGTCATATAGGGTTATGTACAGGGGCTATACAAAAGTAAACCACTCATACCTTAAGATTGGAGTTGGACACGGTTATGCAGAGTGTTGCCACCAATGGTGGTGTTGCCAATTGCATTGCTCAGTTCGGACGCCCCATGTATCGAACCCTGATATGCTCTAAAGCGTTCTACCCGAAGCCCAGGAAATCGTGAAGTCCATCCAGCGCATGGGTCAAGTCGCCGCGATGACCGGCGATGGTGTGAATGATGCACCAGCACTGAACCAGGCATGAATTATTGGTTTAGGGTTTAGGGTTTAGGAATATGAGAAAGGGATTAACAAGGAAGTATATTCCCTTATTGAGGGTTCGGGGATTTGAAGCTAGAGTCAAGGGCCAGACAGCAAGAGCTGTGCTGGTGGCACTAAAGTGGTAACTGTAGGAAGTTTACCCGTGATGATGCTGGGAGCTTGTGCCTTGAGACCCTCAAAAAAGTCAATGGTAAAGGCTTGATGGATTAGAATGTCGAATGCGGCGTTTGGGTTTTCAGCTTGTTTTCCAGGTGCGGGAATGTCATAGGCCTTCCAAACCCTGGAAATGTTGTCTAAATTCCGTATGTATACGGCACAGCTTCAGCCTTCACGAGCGTCGATCACGGCGTATCCAACCTTCCTTTGCATGCATATGCTTCTGGAGTGATATGCTCGGCCTTGCTTCTTTTCTAAGGGCTGGCGTGGTGAGTACTAGCGCAACGCACCCTCTATTTGTAATTGTGGTGGTTTCGTACCTGTTGTCGGAGGTTCTTGAAGGTTTTGGAGGATTCAGGCTTCATGAGCAGCATCCCCTTTCAGTTTCTTTGTTTAGCAGCTCTTTTTCCCGGAAGCTTTGTAACATCCGATTACGGTCCCTGATGCAGCTTGTCTCTCTACCTATCCGAAGACAGCAACACGGCATCGTGTCCAGGGTGGTTCCCTGCAGGCGAACATTGGCGTGGCTATGGGGATCCAGGGCACAGAAGTGGCAAAAGGCGCATCTGACACTTGACCTTGCAGTGTTGAATTCAGGCAAGTCTCTGGAGCAATGCAGCAGCTCATTAGGCGATCGATATGTATATATATATATACCAGCAGTCGGGCATTGTCAGTCTGATTCTCAAGATCACTGCTGTGAGGGAAAGGGGCTTAAAGTTGAGATGAAGGATTTTCACGCCGCCGTCGAGGATGGTAGTATGAGCCATAGTCTAAACTCCTTAAAGGGGGTTATAGGGGACTACTACAGGGGTTGTTCAGGGGATACTACGACTAAAGCTCATATGGTACAGGATTTCGGGGGTGTCAGTGTGAGGGAAATTCATATTGAAGCAGTCTGCAGAGCCTGGAAGCGTTGGCTGCAGCATCGCGGTTGATTCTAAGAGGAGAATAATGAAGACATTGCGTTGCATGTATCTACTATATTCTAATATATGCATCAGAAACCCTAAACCCTGAAACCCTAAACGCTATTCCATCTGTGCAGGGGTTCCGAGATGCCAGCCCTCCTTGTCAGATGTCATGCAGCTAAGGATATGGTCCTCACCGACGACAACTTTTGCATCTTGCTGCACGATTAGGGGTGCTTAGCCTGGGATTCCAGAAACAACCCCTGTACTGGATCGCTGTTAGGGATCCTTTGTATTTTGTTAGGGGTGTGGGATTCCTTGTCTTTATGTGCAAAAGAACCTTTTTTCTTCCTAGGGTAACGTGGCCTAAGTATAGCATGGCATAGAATAGTCCCTATCTTTCTTCCATACTCTCCCTCAAGTATCAGTAGGGAGGGGCACTAGATGAAATCCCAGAGCTCTCCCAGTTTTCAACACTTGGCAAGCAGTAGCAGCTTCTGAAATGATGGCAACTTGCGTAGGCCGAGCTGCACTTTGATAGTGGATCCATAATGTGTCTATGTAGGTCATCCCTGTCTCAAAGGGTCCATGTAGCTATATAGTACATATTTGGGCCCTCGTGCAGGTATATGGGAACCCCTGTGGGCCCTAAGTGTTACCATATACCTACATGGACGCTTTGGGTGTTCAGCCTTTACTTTCACGCCTAAGCAGAGGCTCTGATTATCTTCCGTTTTGGGCAGTGCATATGCTTTCTTTAATCCCTTGCAGCTAAGTTTGACAAAGCTAAGAGGAACTACATACAGCAGGAGTGTGTGAGTAGACCTTCAGCCCTGAAGCACATCCAAAGGGATCCTACGTACCTATATAAGAGAAACCAACCCAAAACATAGTATTTCCTTGTATGGAAGCCCTACTGTATATCATGTATGTACTTAGGTCTTCTTGGAGTGAGTAGCATTAAGATACTATAGTGAGGAAGCCCCATTATTTACTATGCATAATACGGTCCTAGGCCTTAAACCCTAAACCCTAAACCGTACACCCTAAACCCTTAAACCCTACACATACTATGGTCCTAAACCCTACACCCTAAACCCTATTGAGTGTAGAGCCTAGGCTCAATCGTCGCGGCCGTTGAGAAGGGCCGTGCAATCTATTCCGGCATTCAGAAGTTTGTGGCTGGGCTGCAGCTTCGGGACTTTGGGCTTTCGATGTGTGAGTTTGGGCTGTTTAGGGTTTGGGATTTAGGTTTTGAGTGTTTTGGGTTGGGTTTTTTTGGGTTTCTGGGTTTGGGATTCTGACGGGGGCTTGGAGTTTTGGGTTTGGGGAAGGGGGTTGGGGTTTGGGAAGCGCTTTTGATTTGTGGTGTGGTGTGGTTTGGAGTTTGTTTGGACCTAGTAAATGGAACTTCATGGAAACGTCAAGGCGGACAAAATGCAACGTTTTTCTCTGCAGGAGGTTTCGGTTTAGAGTTTTGATTGTTTAAGGCCTCTAGGTTCACTGGGGCTGTACGGGATCTGAGTTATCGGCTACCTGAGACCCAAACCCCTCAAGAATTGCTGATATTCTTCCCTTATACATCCTTACACATACAACCCCTGATCCTATTCGGCTATAGGTTTAGGGTTATGATATAACATATCCCGTAAAGACGGAGACCAGCCGCTTGGTAGTTTCAAAACCACCTCAATAGCCCTTATAAGGACCCGCGCAATCCCTCATAATTCATGCCTCGTATAGGTTCCCCTATTACTTTCCCTGTATACTACCCCCCGCCCCCCGCAATCCCCAATTATACATCCGTGATATCCCTATGGCCCCGCCTTCTTGATAAGGTTGCCTTCATCATGTCTGTGCACATCGCAGAGGCCTGGCGGAGAATGGTAAACAAGGAGAATCACATGGAACATGAAATCCGAACAGGCCTCACGTAGGGGCTTGTCATTGGAATGTTAACAGTGACAGGCTGCTTACCAAGTAGCCGTGTTTGTGAAGACCGGTCCCTTAACCCTCCTCCTACCCTCGTTTAGGGCCGCCATATATCCCCAATTGAGGGTGCTAGGAGGGTCTTGGTTAACACCCCTAGCAATCTCATCATGTAAAGGACTGCCTACACCTGACTCATCGTCCAAAGTTGGCCCTTGAAAGCCTTTCATCCCAGGGCGAAAAGGGACACTGGGACTTCCAGACACAGGCTGTACCCAAATCCCCAAAAGTATGTAAAATAATAGCCCTAAACCCCTAATACTAGCCATAAAGGCCATTGTTTTACATACTTTTGGGGTCCAGGTAATTCCTCCCCACATTTCGAGCAGGTATTCACTCAAACTGCAGGGAGACAGACCCCAATGGCAAGACCTTTGCAACAGGCAGTTCACACTGCAAAGGCTTTCGTTCAACCTCAGGGCCGACATGTAACATGTGGGGGTTTCCCAAAATTAGGGGTACCATTTTGGGGATACCTATAATAAGGATTATAGTATTTTGGGGTGTATATTAGGGTCCCCTTATTTTCGGAAACTACCATGTGGGGCTTCCAAACCAGGATTCTGTTCCTGTGAGTCCCGAAACTTAATGATATCGTATTTCTGGGTATGTAATGGGGTGATGGCGAACCCTGTTTAGAGCAATGTCCACATGAATAGTGAACTGTTTTGGCCATAGAGGTTGAACCAAGGAGTAGTATGACAATGGTTCATGCAATAGAGGCTAGCGTAAAAGTCGGAATTGTTACCGATATCGTCCCTGACAGTCCTTTTAAAATGATAATACAATGTTCAATGTACCCCAAAGACCTATTCTAATTACGTAGGTGCGGTCAAGTCAGCGACAAAGGTTCTGACAGCTCCTCTGAGGTTCCACAAGACCCCAGAAGTTTGCTCTGGCCCGGCCAGGTCATGCAGATTTTTGCATGCATCGTTGCCGGTGTCCCCGTGATGAGGACATATCCTCTCAAGAGCGTTGCATGGATACATTGGGAGTGTGTGAACTTGATTCGATGGAAAACCCTGCATGATCTGGCTCTTTTCATCATCTTTCTACCTACTCCTGATTTTGCTTCAAGTGGATGGCTCATACGTTTGGATTTCAGGTGGTGCTCTCAGACCGCACACGCAATAGAGCCTGCTTCACAAAAAAGTCAGGCTGCACATCCGAATCCTACATCCTAACAATTTAGATGGTAGTTCCCAAAATTGGGGTTACCCCAATATAGATCCCCAAATGCTATAGTCATTATTATGAGGAACCTTAGAAAAGGTAGGTAACAACATACTATAGTCCTTAGTATGGGGAACCCTAAAATGGTACCCCTAATCCTGGGAAATCCCCAAAAGGAGTACTATCAAGGGATTCTTGGGAAAGGCACAGGCTATGGCATGAGCAGATAGCATGTCCTCGGACGGGACATCTTATAAATAGGAATAGTAAGGTTTTAGTACCATTACTTGTAATAGTACTTGTTAGTAATAGTAATAGCAAAAGTAATGGTAATCATCTTTTGAGTAATAGTAGTCGTAAGAACTACTCGTAAGAATAATGCTAATACAAGTAACAGTAACAAGGGTCAACCTTTAAGAGGCCCTTGTAACATGGGCGAGTACCATTCCCGCAGTCGCATTCTGGACCATCGAAGCAGGGTCCTTCCCCTTCAAAGTGCATACAGGCCGCTCCTGAACCCTAAACCGCGCGTTGTGTAAGATTGAAGGGTTCAGAGTTCGCAGCATTACTGGGCTGTGCGGGAGGCCTACGTGTGAAAGCGCCTGGATGCTGATCCAAATCCCAGCCTAAAACCCGAGTCCTAAGCCCTCAACCATAACCACCAAGCCCTAAACCCTAAACCCTATGTTGGGGGTCAGGGCCCTGAACTCTATGCCAGGACGCCCCTCCAAATCCTCTTCCTCATCCTGGTCACGGACCTTCCTCCATCCATCGCCCTTGGCATGGAGCCCGGTGAGCCAGGCCGTTGGGCGTGCTATCTGAGGGTTTGGGGCTTAATTAGGGTTTAGGGCTTAGGGTTGATGGCTTTAGGGTCTATGTTTGGGGTTTAGGGTCTTAGGGCACAGAGTTTAGGCTAAGGGTTTTAAGGCTTAGTTTTTTTAGGGCTTAGGGTTTTTAGGGCTTAGGGTCTAGGGCTTAGGGATTAGGGCTCCTGGCTTCTGGTTTTAGGGTTCGGAGATTTCCACAGATGATTGTTGTTATATATATATATATGTATCTCTCTCTCTCTCTCTCTCTCTCTTCTCCCTGAGCTCTAGAGTCCTGCTTAGGTGGGTTCCCGAAAAGGGACTAAATGATTTCCGCCTCCCATATGTGTGAGGTATGTTTGCATCGTTGACTTTTGGTGAACCTATGTTATGCACACAGACCGCCCGGGAAAATATTGGTAAGCGCATTTGTTGGGTGTCCACTTGGGAAGACCGGTTGCTTACATCTGTTGTGTATGTAAGTGTAAGTTGATAGGGTGCATATGGCTCGAGCTCTAAATCTTATAGTTGGGGTTGTCAGAGTTGAAACGGGGCTTCAAGATTTGCCTTCCAAAGGGCATTGTCCTTACTTTCCTCCAGTCAAACATGGCGTAGAAGTACTGTTTCTAAAAGGCGGCCCAGTTTGGGTTCAATGCTTGCTTCAAGTAGGGTAATCCTCAGCTTTCTCCCATGTAATCCAAATAATGTCGTCAAGTCACACCCTGTATGGAGAAATTCAATCCATGGTAGTCCCCATGATCCTTGCTATATGCTCCCTTGCGCATGGTCGCCTTGAGCGGCAGGCTTTCTCCCGCAGAGATGAACCCCGAACCCGAAACCCTAGAGATTACGGTCACTAAACTCCATCCGCGTGCCTGTAGAGGTCTTGGGGTTCTGCAGCCACACATCTCGCCTTGATGCAAGACAGACTGACAATGGCGCCGAAACTTACTGGTTCTTAGTAGGGAATTGGGCAATACAATCCATATATAATCCCAATATAGTATATTCCATATTCCCCACTAAGAAGCAGTAAGGAAAGGTCTCAAGTCTGGGTGGCCCACATGAACACCAATCAGATCTAGTTCCTCTTGCAAAGCATCCGCCACTTTTGGCCAGGCTCCCACTTAGCGACGTAGCTAGACAACTGGCATCGTTTTGCTTCATTGCTTATTAGCGAGCTATGGCCCTTCCATACCGGTCTTCACTCCGAATCCCCTTGCCCACACGGTCGAACCCCTTCTACGCATATCAACCCCAAGAGACCAGCCAACAACCCAGCTTAGGGGTCAACAAGCTTTGCTGTTAATGTAGGGTTCCCGAAAACTTTTTCTTTACTCACGGACTTGAACATTGCAAAGACCCAGCTTAAGCATCAACGAAATATCAGTTTCTCAAGAGGATCCTTTACATAATCTCCAAGGCTGCCCCCATAATTTTCTGTCAAGGATCCCCAAATCTCCCCCCCAATGGCACCACATAGCAGCCCCCAAACTCGTGCAGTAATTTGGGTAGCATACTTGGAGGCCCATGGGACTTAGTAACTACTTATAACTGGGATTATAACTCTACTTATAATTGGGGTAACCCTCCTATAAGCCCGTTTAGGAGGATTATAAGTAGGGTTATAAGCCCAGTTATAAGTGGCTACTAAGTCCCATGGGCCTCCAAGTAGGGTTTGTAAGGTGGTACAAGATTTCCTCTGTCCACAGCAGAGCCCTCCGTTTTGAGCAACGCCGAAAGGTAGTTTCCATGAATAGTGGGGCCCAAACACGACCCCAAGAGACTCTGATTCTGATGAGGGGGACCCCCAAATGGTGCCCCTAAGTTTGGGAAACCCTAAACCCTAAACCCTAAATAGTAGCTTCCATTTCATTTTCCATTATCCCCATATTACCCCTATATCACCCCAATAAGGTACCCGTAATTTTGGGAAACCCTAATCCCTATAAACTCTATACAATCCCAGTCTCCATTTCGTTTTTCTTTTCCATTTGATTCTCCATTTAGGGGGGTTTGGGAACCCTAAACCCTATGTGAAGGCATTCTCAACCAGCTCCTCGGCTGCGGTTGGCTCATCGCGAGCATGTGGCCCTAAGGGTCCAAGTATTCAATCATTGGAACCCAGGATTTTGGTAGTAGTGCTTCAGACCTAAACCCTTGAAACCTTAAACCTTAAAACCCTTGAGTATTCGGACCCCTTAGCTGGATTATTCTTACGTTGTTTGGGCACTTCGGGTATCATTTTGTACCGTGCATGTCGAAAAAAGTACCCCTTTTGCCATGACGATGTATCCAGCTAGCATCTCAAAACTACAGTGATCATAGGAGCTATAGTTTAAACTCCTAGTAGGTTTAGGTGTCTAGGGTTTTAGGGTTTATGATTTAGGGTCTTAGGGTTTAGAGTTTTAAGGTTTAGGGTCTAGGGTATGGGAAAACTCCTCAAAGGGGGTGATATAGGGGGTTATATAGGGGAGTATTATAGGGGTTACTAAGGGGGAAACTAGGAGTTCAGACTATGGATCATATGAGCTATAGTTCAAACTCCTTTCATTAAAGGGCTGATATAGGGGATTATTATAGGGGAGTATCATCGGAGGTTTTAAGGGGGATACTAGGGGTTTAGACTATGGATCAGATATAAGTTATAGACTACACTCCTTAAAGGGGGGTTATAAAAGGGAGTAATATAGGGGATATTAGGGGGGATACTAGGGGTTTAGACCATGGATCATATGAGCTATAGTTTACTTAGAGGCCCATGGGACTGAGTCACTACTTTTAAATAACGGGGATTATAACCCTACTTATAAGTGGGTTAACCCCTATAAGCCCACTTTGGGTGATTATCAGTAGGTTTATAAGCCCAGTTATAAGTGGTTACTAAGTCCCATGGGCCTCCA